CATTCGCACTATTGGTCTTTGTCAGTAAGTCGTTACATGGTTACGGCTATCGTACCATCAGTTACCGCCAGTGACCGATGGAAAAGTGCTAAATAAACCGCTGTCATGTCGTTGGCCGTCCATTGACGATGAAACGAACTTCGGTTCAACAAACAATTTTGCTGGGGCTTTGATCTTCCCTACTTCATCTTGCGGCATGTGTAATTGTTTTCTGAGTTTGGGCGGTAATGACCACATGGAAAATTGTATTCATGACAGTTTTTAAGTTTGTATTGGAATAATAGTCACAATAACGGGAAAATTGTACCGTATGTGCCTCAACTGGAGAGACAGTAGCGCAAATAGCTGTCAGTCAAGGCACTGCAACGGTCACTCCAGCTAAAGAAAGTCGGCCACTCGTGTTACTTGGGGATCTACATTAGACTACATATTTATACGTACTTAATCCTACTTTGCTATGTAAAAATGCAAGCATGCACCATTCTCACTGCGCTCAAAATAAACACTCTTTAACTATATACTGATTTGTTTGTTGCTTAGCGTTATGAACGCCCATATGTAAGCTGGTGACGGAGACGAATTCGCATTCCTTAGAACTAGTATGGCCTATCCGTTAGCAAAAACCTATGAGACCTCAACCAATTATCTGAATTCTATGATCAAAAGTTTACTCTATTGCTTTAATGTGTCTAAAACATTAAGATGACTAAAAGCTCTGGGATTATATATGCCATCGGTACAGTGGAAGAGCATTTAGTTACTGTTCGCCGGTAATCTTGTGTATGGGGCGTTCTAATTACGACAAAACGGAGAACCACAACGGCGATTACACTGTATATGTGTTGCAAAGAGCTTCAAGCAATACGAAGCAGGTAAGCGACTTACTGTGAAACGCAAGCGATCAGGATTCACAAACAAATAAGTTGACGTTTATAAATTGCATCCTCCAGTAAAACCCTGTGTTTAACTATGCGGACAGGTGTCTTGTTTCGGGTTCACCGCAATATCCCCCGAAGCACGATGATTCCCTTGGTAAGTAAAACAGTCCTACTATTTTAATGTGCGCTAAGGCTGGCGCATATCCAGTCAATGCTTTATCCAAAAACACCCTTAAGAACCGTACGCTTAGTTCCGAAACAACGAAGAGCAAATAATATTCTGTTACACAAAATAGAAAAACTGTTTTGCACCTTGTCAACTTGCTGGAAAACCGCGAAAATTAAGTGATTTACTAACTGAAGTAACAAATGATCTGATAGTCTGTTTGTAGAAGCAAGTTTAATGTGTTTATTCTTCGTAAGCCATTACAAAATTGATCCTTAATGGTCAATGGATTAGTTTTGAAATACATGTGCAGTTTACATTGTAATACCGACAAATGCCTAAATAGTCTTGTAGTGAAATTATTCCGCCTGCCCGTTTGTGCCTGATACTTATATTCTTATGCCTCTACAATGATCTGCAAATTTAAAGCTCAACCATTTAACGTGATGGCAGAAATGTCAATGACTGGGAATCAATCTGCAGCAACGTACTGTGAATACGTGAGTGCACATGATAAGAACAAAAATTAAAACGGTTATGACTGATATTTCCCAACAACTGAAGCATGGCATCTGATTGCTCCATATAAGTAAGAAGTATGCTTCATCGGTTTTTTAAAGGTGAAATGTATTTATGACAGATATTTCCTTGCCGCTGAAAACTTCGCAACTTTCCCTAAACAAAGTAAACAAACGCCATGTAGCATTGTACTGCATTCGCCACCAGGTTTCGTTAGAACCAACAAATTATGGGACACTATATTTAATTACACATCAACAAAAATTACATAATTACTATTTGTCTTTACTAAATTGTCAAACAATAAATAGCGGATAACTGGTAACCTACAGGATGGCTGCATATTTCATCCTTTTCCACGCTATTTACCTGTAAACCGTGATTCAGAATTATAGTTGTTTTAAAAAAGCATGCGAGTCACAGTAGATTGTCACTCAGAAAGTGGGTCCACGCAGTTAAATTCGTCATCAATTGCAAGACAATTTCAAGTTGTTTGTCACTTGCGGTTTAACAATAAGCACAATAGCAGGGGCTGTGGTGAAACAAAATCGTCAAATTTTTGATGAGTTCTGTAAACAGGAATCTTAATATCACTGCTAACATTGTCTAAGATCCAGAGAAAGCGCTGACTTTTTACAATTCGTAAAAATTATGATTATATGAATGAAATTAGGCTTTGGACAATGTTTGGTTTTAAATAGCTTAGCGAAGAAAACTAGGGGTTCACAGGTATCAGTCCTTGCTCACCATCTACCACAGTCTAAAATACCGCTATTCATTGTTAATATTGTCTTGCTGAAATAAATAATTATTTATTCTCGGCAAAGTTAGGCACGTCTTTTGTGCGCACTCCCATTTTACCGAGGATTAACGCGCATTATTCCCATAGGGTCTCAATAAACATAAGAAAACACAGCAAAGTTAACACGTTGATCAACAATCCTCTTGTTGCTTTGCCTGGTATCATTAAATTTTGGAAACAACAAATCTCATTCTAAAGCTTGCAATGTATACTGAAAGGATAAACGGTACCAGCAACAACCAAATTTACCATTTCGTTATTTAGCTTAGTGTAGAAAGTGATCAACTAAACGTAATTGTATGGTCGTTTATAACGAGGACTTGGAAGTTATCGAACGATCGTGGTGGCTTGCTGTTATACATTTGGTCTTCGCTGTGCGGGAGACTGGTACACATCAACCTCAACGAGGATGGCCTGTGCCAGCAGTTATGGTGCTTGATCTGTCAAGGACATGGAGTATTGTTTGTGGGTGTAGCCTATCGCAGCTTGCTAAGACGACGCCTGGATTGATTGCCGCATGTCAAAATTACAGGAGTCGGTGTCGCTTCCTTTTCATGAGCGACTTTAACTTTGAATACGGTGGCCTGAGATTCAACTTCGCCCCGGCCGCCGTGAAATCGCGGCGCAGTTCGCGATGATAGTTGACACGAGCAGCACAGCATGTCTAATATCCGACGCGCGTTATGACACATTCAGCTCCACCGTGCTCGGACCTACTACTAGCGAGTTGCGAGTAACATGTAGGTGAAATTCAGGCCATGGAGTCTATAGCAGCTATTGATCACTCGATGGTGTTAACCAGCCTAAAGCTGCCTCTGTCCTAACGGCAATCTCCGTAGCTTTCCTGCAATTATGGGATGACTGATTTCGCTGATCTCAATCTAATCGCCCGTGAAGTATACTAGTCGCTGCCGCAGGATTCATCTGTTGAAGTCTGTTGCTTTGTTATAAAAGAGGGTATGCAATCGTTGTGCACTCCTTTCGTACCCTACAAGTATCGGAAGGCTGGACCACTGAATCCACATTGGTTTGACAAAGACCATGGTCATTTGGCTCGACGACGGCGTGTATCATTGAATGTATTCCTCGTGACTGGCTCTACCGAGGATTATGAGGAGCGGAATCTATGCAGCAGCGCAATAGCGCGAAAGCGTTCGCAGTTCAAACAGGAGCTTACAACCTCAGTGAAGACAGCTTCCAAGAAGATTTATGTTCAAGCGAAGCGGTGCCTGAGGCCGCAAGTGATATGGTTGTGTTGGAGGGCACTTATCCACAGCTTCTGCCCTTCAACACTGAACGTGCATCCTCATTGTCGGGGCACTTCACTCCCTTATTAACAAATGGGCATGTGCCTTTGCTGAACCCCAGGTGTGCAGCCTTTACTAAATTTTGCGGTCTGGGATGTGGTGTAGAAAAGATCCGCGGTCTATCCCCTAGTCTTGACGGCACGAAATCTGCCGGATTCGATGGAATTTACCTGGTAATTTGGAAGTCCTAAGCGGCCATCATCTTACCTACCATGACGGATCTGTTCGCTAAATCACCTTCCGAGGGCGCCTTGTCGTGCTACTGGAAGTACTCGGTAATGAATCCGTTTCCAAAAGGCGATGAGCCACGCAATGTGGACTAATTCCGTGCCATTTGGCTCACTTCTCTTTAGTCGAATATTCTTGAGAAAATATTAAACATGTATCTTTTCCAACTGCTGAAGCCGGAAGGTCACCTAATGTCTGCACAGCATGGTCTTATGTAGGGTCGCTTGTGCATCACCAACTTTCAGTTTTTGCGGCAAGCATGGTTGCAAGCATGGTTGCAAGCGTTGAACTGGGGGTAGTCAGTGGATGTTAGCTGCATTGATTTCAGTAAAGCCTTAAATAAAGTGAAGCATAACGACAACCTAAACAATGGCTTCAGCTGCACCACTACCAATAAAACCATGGGTTCTCTTGCAGAATACAAATAATTTGCTTTGAGTGTTTTTCTGTTTTCTCTTCACAAAGCATAATTATTGCATCATCAATTCTTTATTTCAATAGCTGTACAAGCGCGTAAGCCACTCGACAGACTCCAGGTTACTTCGAGTTTGCAACGTCAGTTCCGCTGTATTCTCTAAAAAGGGGGTGCGCCAGCTGTTTGCGTTGCAATTACAAAGGAATCCTTCTATTCTACTGCCATCGTCTGATTTACTACCGGTGATGCAGCAAGTCAGTAATGCGATCAACCAGGGGATACCAGGATGTGTACATGTAACCAGTGTTGTCATGACGGAAGGCTGCAGTGTTGCATGTAAGCTAACTTTCTGATTAAATTAAGGTCATATTTTGGAATAATCATTATATACGAAATACCTTTCGCACTTGTCCTCTACTCCTTCTGTTTTGCGTTAAAATTTTCGACCATACATTTCAGGTTATGAATATGCAGAAGCTTCTATAAAGTGCCATAAAACTTGAATGACTTAATGTAATAAACATGCAGAATTCATCCTAGAAATTTCATCTTTTCTTGTCATGCAAAACCAATCATACGGCGGAAACTAACAGAGTGAAGAAAGGTGCAATTTCAGTTTTGTTTTAGCCTTCCGCAAGTTAACGTGTCAAACACAACTGCGTGTTTCTGCTTACGTTGCTTAAATATGAACTCAACCAACGAATTATTGACATTTATTCTTGGTTACAAAATTTGTGGTAATATTTCCCATGTAAATATCTCAGCTCATTCGCTGCAGTTCGCAAAGCAGATAAACGATGATGTGGATGACGAAAATTGGAGAAATACCGATGGTTGTAATGAGGTTAGTCTAAATGAATTTTTGTGGTTCATGCGGTGCAAAAGCACTCCAGCGGTCATGATGTATTTAACCCAACATTTTATTTTATCTAATGAAATAAATTTCACTACTTTACACTGGTTGGGTTTAAAATATGACAGCTGCCGTTGACAGTTGCTGAGCATTATTTTAGCAGGTGTTATCTTAGCGAAGGTCTCACTGGCTCAGTTACGCGACTTTGTTGGTACCAAGAGCATTATTTTCGTATGCGCTCGTTCAGTAAGCAAAAGGTTTCCGCCGTGCATTATGATTTGTCATATTTTATGTGCTTGTTTGCTGTTGCTGCTTAAAAATCTTACATGTCCCATATGTACAACGGTGTTCAAGCATAAACTTGCTCTACCTCGTGGGCAAAATCTAGTGAGACCAGTTAATAGAAGCAAAAGCATTAATTTTACCGTTTCTTCTCGACAGCTCACAAGCGCAGTAACCTAACCAACAGATAGGCCGCGAAATGTACCAGTCTGCTTGCAAGTTTTGGCGCTCTGCCACCGTCCACGTGGCTGGTTGGCATAAGCTACTGGCTAGTTGACACAAGCTTCTGGCGGTAATGAGTTCATTTCTCTAAACGGACCTGAAGGAATGCGCACTACTCACGAGGCCTAATAGGACGAATGTGTCGTCGGTTGTAACTCCGGATTGATAGAATTCCAAGCATGTAAACTGCCGGGCGAACCACGAAAATCCATTTAAAGTCCATATACTCCTCAGAAAATGTATGAATTGTCTAAATTAGACATGGCAAAAAGATTGAAGTGAAAGCAAATGCATGGGTTCTAAGTGATAGGATATAAGTTTTAAATGGTAGATTCTTACCTAGCTTGTACTTATGAAATAATCTTTTATCGAACTAGTACTGATAGCATCAGTTTTTTAAACATAGGAACCTTCGGAGATTGGGTCAACAGGTTATAAATGTGCTTCACAACTTGTGCTTGCGCACATAAAATATCAAAAAATATGGTTTAATATTCGTCATGGTTAAGTAGTTACTCTACATTGCAATACCATCAGTATTATCGTGCTCAATGAAAGGAAATGTTCACGACGATTTGAAAATAAAGTAAACTAAAAGCTGCTCAGTTGTAGTTTAAAAACTTATTTAACTTCATTAGCATCACACAACGTGCTAGTTGGAGCCTTATTTGCTCAAGGTGACTGGGAGTTGGATAAGTTAAACTGCTAACTTGATATCGAGCAACTTTTATGCCATTCCTTCATTCGTGGTACATGGGATAAAGGGGGCACAACGCAAGTTGCTCAGTGCTTTCTCAATACTGATGTCAATTAATGCCAATATATCAGATCATCAATCCAACAACTGCTCACAGTAATATGCTTTGAAATGGTCCGAACGGGTGTTGAAACAAAATTGATTGACTGAAAATTAGTGGAGATATTCAATCTCCTGTTGAAAGGCCACACACGTACTCAAAGGTACACAAACCAGTGATATCCGATATACTATACAATAGATTCGTAAAATCTATCAATAGAATTTGCATAAAGAGTGCAGATAAACCTTCTTGTTAGTGGCAATAAGTAGAGCAACTGGGGGGAAAGATGGGTTTTGACAAGAATGGCCCGTCTATGTTGCTTGTAGATTAGCAGCCATTAGAATGAGTACAAATGGAAAGAGGAACAAAAAGGACAGGAAATACCTAGGCAGTCCGTGTTAATGAGTAAAGTCAGACTATAAACTTTAGCTACAATCTATCCCTCGACTAAGCAAGTATCTTGGTTCTCGCTTGAGGTGGGAAACCATAGACAAGTGGTTTTAACTTTTGGTTGGCTGTTATTGTTTCGCAAAAAGGTGCAGCAAGAACTGTACATATGTTCCTCGGTCACAGAAAGTACAACACGAGGTCACAGCGACAATATTCCATAAAATTAAACAGCTTCTATCTAGGCTGCATGAAAATGCTTCTGCGCTGTCATATAGTTTCACGTTAGGAAGCAGCTTACAACTGCGAACTACTCGATATCATACCGGTCGATCGTGCAGGGCAGTGCCAGGAGAGAGCAGCTTCGCAACTTCACAAATTTTGCACCACTTCACAGGCAAATTGGTTCTCTGAAGCTATCGGCTGTGTTAATGTTGTGTTCTCTAGGGCGCAGTGCGGCAAACCTAGCTGTTTTGTGCTGCTTTGTGCAAGTACGCCTTTCTTACTCCACAACCGCTGTTCGGACGTGGTCCGATCCATTTCTGTGACGATGTTCCGTATCTAATAAGGGTTGATACGACGGAGGTCCCGCATAAGTAGAGGCATTCGTAAACGCTACAGCTATTGCTAAAATTTTGTGCGTATTCATCAAGAACATAAGCATCCCGATTGCCGACAACAGACTCAAAATTTATCCCTAAGAATGTTTGAATGAAGGTTCATACTTGTGTTCTACGAGACGCACCTCAATCATCGTAGTCAAGTGGTAGTATTGTCATACTCTGTTGCAAAACTCGAAATTATCTGCGTTGGTCAAACTACGACTGAATTTTACGGCATTAAAGACAGAAACAATACTCCATTTTCCAAGCACAATTTTAAAAATTTTCAGTTGCCTTCCTCGAAGTTACAACGATATTGGATGTACCGTCCTTATATTAAATATGCTAACCCGACACACATGTGGAAGGCGGGTTAGAATAAACTTTTCTGTTTTTCAGTGCAATTTGTAAAGGTTTATAACTGAGCTACTGTTTGTGTTGGATCGCCCCGTTTGCATATCCATCTAAGCAAAGTGGGCTTGAAAAATCAGACGGAAAGCTAAAAGTGCTTTAGTATCCGGTAGAAAAGGAACATCTGTTTGATGTAGAATATCTGAGATAAGTGACCATGTTTAGTTACTAGCGTAGCTAGTTACTGGAATATAACCGATATTTCTCCTGGTGGGAAAATTAACCTGTTGGACAAAGGCGTACGCGTGCACCCATTCCACCAATTTTTTAAGTCAATGGTTTACAGCGTTGACGACAAGTTTCATCTGGATGCATACGTTTCAAATAACCGATGATGAGCAATATCTATGCAATGACTATGAAGTGACTGTGGACTCTTCTACACTCCTTATCTTCTGAACGCACGACAAGGGGCCACTGTGCACAAGCTAGTTGTATTCAACTGATCCAGCCCTCACAGGAAAAAGAAACCAGAGTGTCCAATGTGTTTATTGAAGTGTTAGCTTCTTAATTCACGAAGTACCCATTAACACGCAAGTACAATGATAATTCATATGACGCCTATAACAATACAACAAATGGTTTGAGCAATCAAATCATTCAGAAAGTTATATCTCAGTAACAACACCAATATTACAAACTTTGGCTTGCCGTCAACTATTGCACCTTATATCGAATTCCACATCACTTAACCCCTAACGTTTAGTCAACGCCGGGAAAGTATGTTATGCAAATAGCATCGGATGTTGCTACGCTAACTTAACGTCTCGTGAACAGAGTGTCTTCAATGTATGCTGGGAAAAGCCATTCATGGAGTGGATCCGGTATGGCAAGGTGCTATTCACTCTTTGATAGCCCACAGATGATAAGACAGACGATTTGGTGAATAGGCCAAAAGCTGCCGCTTACGCTGCAAGTTGTGACGACGGACGTTGCTATTTGACACAGTCGAGTTTTCTTCGTCACCAACCAAGCAACAGGGCTTCGCCACTTGGTGGACAATAGTGTCTAATTTAGCGTCTTCCAAGGTGATAAGAAACACACGAATGAAAAGACGATCAGTTCGTCCCGAACAGCCAACGGTTCGTTATTTATGAGTATGGTCAACGATTGAGCCTGCGCCGTCAACTTGAATGGAATTTTCTCGTCGCAGCAACACAAACGCCAATTCTTGATTTTTGCGAAATATAACACTGCTGTTTGCTTGTTGACAAAATGCACTGTTGCCTGTTCGATTGCTAAACTAACCTGACAAGTATAAGCACATTAAAAGACGCTGGAACAAGCAGTCCTGTATACGCCAATCTACCGAGTTCAGTTATTGGTCAGTTGGTTCTTTGGAATTTTCCGAAAGTCTTCTGCGCAACAGCACCGTTGCCATCCACTACTAATGCTGAGAAGCATAACTACTTTAGAGAAGATTCGGATGAGTTCACAAGAGGCAGTCGAACGGCCTCAGATAAGCGGAAAATTGTCATCGCATATTTCGAACATACTCCTGATCTAGGCATAGTTCACCAGTCAGAAATCTCATGGACGTTGGCGGTACACATGGTGTCAGAAATGTCAGGAGACTAAGGCCTGGATAAGAAATACCGCGGGTACTAACGCACCTGTCCTAGACCGCTATCCTATTCCTTACATTCAGTACAACACGGCTTGTCCTGGGAAATTGATCTACTTTGTGCGTATCCCCAGATACCGGGAACAGAGTAGGCGATACCGAAGATTCTCGTAATCAACCTAGTTGGGCCTTTCGAACTTATACGCATGCATTTGGTCATCGCAACGCCGCCCAGACTTATCAACGATTCATGGATTCCGTCTCTACAGGTCTTGCTTTTATTTACTCTTATGTAACCAGATCCTAGTGGCAATCACTTCTAAAGAACGGAGTGCAAAACCTCTCAAAATGCTTTTTGATTGTTTTCCCGCTAACGACATCCCATAAAGGTCAAGCGATGCGTATTTCTGCACTCGTACGTCGGAGTTCTTGGCCAGCGCATCGAGCAAAATAGCATACCGCCTCTAACTAACAGAGACCGTGCCATGAGCGATTGTCCAGTCCCGAATACGTTAGCCGCTATTAGACGCTTTTATGTTATGATCAAGTATTACCGACGGTTTCCTCCATATCTTGCCAACTTACTTGTGCTACTGACCGATTTAATTTGTGGAGGTGAAATGGAATTGCTGAGTTAACCGCCGTTGTTGCCGATGACCTCAAGGCCAGTAAAGAGGCGTTGGTTGAAGCCGTTATGCCCAACGGCTTTGAAACGTGCGCCACGCTCAGCATTGCTGTTGACGCATCGGACATCGCCGTTGGCGCAGCCCTATGACTAATTAACAATGCATCTTGGAAACATTTTGCTTTCTACTCGAGATGCTTACAACCGGCGAAATTTAAGTACAGCACGTTCAGTCGCAAACTGCTGACTGTTTGACATTTCCTGCACGTCCATGAAGGCAAATCCTCCATGATCTTTACTGACCATAATCTGTTTATCTACACCTGAACTAAATCAGCTAGACATGCATTATGTGTGGTCCGTCAGCTGCATGTTGTCCATCACATTTCCACTGATCTACGAAAAATCGCTTGTAAAAGGTACGTTGTCAGTGACGCCTTTCTCGCTTCTCCGCAATAAACAACGCCGGGCAGGCAATCGAGCTGTCCGACATGACCGCTGCGCAACAAGCTGATAAAGCCTGTCAGTTCACTTTATCAGATCCCATAGAAAATCGCGCAGAACGCACTGTCGTCATGCAATTGCACTATCCGTTGTGATACATCCACCAGACCTATTCGTCTAGTTGTTCCGACATTTCTGTCCTCGAGTTGTTTATGGCAGTATTCACAATATCACTCATACAGTATCAACTCCTTCCATGATCTCAATTCATTGCGGTTTCTCTGACCAGGCATGCGGCGCAAAATCAGACGCTGTTCACGGAGTTAATTCATCTGTCTGAAGGCTGAAATGTATCAATACGTAGCTGTTTCTCTTAGCAAGTTTCCCGCAAGTTATACCTGTTTCACACACGTCCACCTTAACATATTTGGATCGTTAGCAACTTCTAAGGGTATAGTCTACGTCCTGACCGTGATAGACATCTGCATGTGTTGGTTGAAATCCACTCCCTTCCTCAGGTCGCAGCCGAAAGAGCTAAGATATCTTTTGTCTATCGCTGGATCGCAACTCTCTGTTGCCCTGTAACCGTGACTACGGATAAATGCGTTCATTTTGAAGGTAACACGTTAGTAGAGACGCCCAATGGGCTACGCAGACATTACATCGCAATACCGCTAGCATTGTACTTCGAATGGTAGAGCTGTACATTACCACAAGCAAATGGAAACCTTCAATGCAGTTAAAGCACTCATATGGATGGAAACGTTACCAATGGGCTACTAGACGTCTCTTGGGCAGTCACAATCGACCTTCAAAGGTTTTACGCCTAATTAGTATATGGTTGGGATTTTTTATTCTCGGTCTCAAAACAGCCGTTGCCACGCCATGTACACTCAGCAATAAGACGCTTAGCTAAGCACATCTCGACCGTTTGCTTTCAGGGAATCCGTGTAAATATTTCGTTTCCCGAGACTTGAAACTTTCTTCGCAGGTCTTTATCCGCTTTGACGGCCTTCACAAACGTAAAAGTGCCCATCCGAAATGCCATTTAAGATCGTTCAACGCCAAGACGGTCTGCATTATGGAACCCTACGGCAAAGATGAAACTGTTAGCATCAAATGACCCAAAGCCACTCATCTCGACTTCGAGCACAACCTAGAAGATTGCAGTAGGTCACCAGTTCCGCAACTTCCAGTCAAACCGGACAACATATCATCTGCCGCTCCACGGAATGCACAAAATGACGAAGTGCCAAAATCGATTAGGTTCACAGCCGAACGGCAGGAGAACACTAGGTAAGGTAAATGGGTTCACTGGCCCTAGCGTCTAGAAGGTTGACACACTTTTCTTTTCCGCAATTTAATTTTTTTGGCTGGACAAAAACGCAAAATAAAACAGTAAATGTTGTCATAGCTCTATTAGGACAAAACAGTTTGTGAACACGAAAAGTAGTTAAGCTTTATCAATCCATCGCACTCTGGTAAATGCGGCCGGTATTCGTTCTCCTTGGTCAACTGTATGAGCCTGAAGTCGCTCGTATATATATATATATATATATCCCTATACACGACTCTCGAAGTTCCTCGAACATCTCATTACCAAACACTACATGATCGAACATTAACTTCTTCTCTTTTTATGGCATGCGAAGTTATCGCACGGTTCTTAGGCCGCTAGCTTCAGATCACATTGGTGTTTCCTTACCACCTGTACCGGGATTCACCACATGGTCCGCAGGATTATGGTTGATGATGGACCGTGCTCACGTAAGTGAAGAGCCGCACGCGGTTTCTCCGCTACAAGATGACAATGTAGCAACCTGGAGGTTACTCCGTTTGGTGTGTAACAAATTACCAAAAAGTATTTTTACTTATACCCAAGGAAATTAGGCAAGGTGTTTGTTGCATGTTGAGTACTTTTTTGTATACATGCATATCCGGAACACGACCCAAACGTTGCGTTCATTTAGCTCCCTTGACTTACATTCTCTCTTCTAAATAGCTTACCTTTCTATGGTTGACCTTTAGATTAGCGATATTGCACGTTTCAGGAAGAAAAAGTATCTCTCGTCTACTTATAGTTGTCTGTTTAATTTTCCCAAACGGTTGGCTGGTTGTGTGAGTATAGCACTCTCCATCCATTGCACTGTACCTCTCTGATCCTCAGTCTCCCTCACACTGCTTTTTCGCGTATTGTCAGACCTAGTACCCCGTAGGTTTAACACATCTTTTGAAGGATGTTCAGACCATTGACCACACTTATCATGAAAATCCGTGGATCAGAAACTGGTAAATGTAAATCACCACAGGACATATTCTGCGTTGTTGCATCTCGATCTACCTGCTTTTCTCGAATAGTTGCAATCGCGTTTTAATTCGTCTGAGTATACCTAGCTAAATTACTCGTTGAACTCCCACTTTGACTAGTTCAGCACGCCTTCTTCTTATCAGTTTTGGTTCAATCCGGCATAGGTAACCTTGAGCCGCTAAAGATTTATCTACTATTACTGGTACCGGCGCCATCTCAATCAATTCTACACCCTGAATTTTCTGTTATAGGTTTCAGTCGGCCAGGAAAAGCTTGAAAACAAGTTTCAACTCTATGCCCAATTCTCGGTGGTGAACTTATGCCGTCGGTTAGCATTATGCGTAAAGTAGTAATACACAAACTATGACCTTTGCTTTAAGGCCTAATATAGGTATGATATACGTCGGATACTAGGTGGGTCTCAGCATGGTAAGCACTAACCTATTTATTGTCTTCGGTGACGTTTGAGGTAAAACCAAGTGATTCCCTTAAACATAAGGTCCGCAGATGGTGTCGTTTCAGTTTTATCATCCATGCGATTTTAGAAAAGAAACTCACTAACTGCACAAATAAATTCGTTAATGCTTTAATTCCTTCAATTTTTAGAGCCACCTGATATTCAAGTTTAGTACAAGTTGATGGTAACTTATCCTAGTCAGTTGTGGTAAACCGGCTTCAAATACTCAGCTAAGATTCATCTTGCGTTCTTTCTAACGCAACCCTCTTTTTTCCCACCGATAGTATATCATGTAGATTGTTTTATTAACCTTATGTTTAGCTTTTTCAACAATATCGAAAATGCCCTGTCCGCACGTAATGGCCAAGTAACGTCTTAATTTGGCCTTTTGTGTCTTGAATATGTTGTGGTTTCAGATACACACTTTTTCGACGGTCGAGTGGTGACCGAAAGACTTATGCAATTTATTCTTTTGCACTGCTAATGCAACAATGCCTGAAGTGTGCTGTCGCATTTAATTTGTTACCCCTTTCCTTGCTTGCAAATACTCCGTTCTAATAGCATCATCCAGACATTTATCCACGTATCCGTAACGCTTTGTGCTTGAGCAAGTATTAGCTAAACACACACAGTAGACGCATTTTCTTTATTAGTGTAAACAATAATCCATTCAGTTGAAGCACGATCTAACCAGTCACGCAGCTGTATGGCATTCATGCATGCATCAAACAATTCCAGTTCCTTTCGTGAATGAGGACACAGCTATATTCACAACACATACAATTAGCTTAAAGCCCCATAAGCCAGATTATCACACAAACATAGCGCGATAAGACCGCAGGATTAAACTTTACAATCGAAACGACACCACGAGTAAATGAACAGCAATAACAGCAGAACGAGTGGCATCAGCTACCTAGGGGAGCGTTGTGCAATACAATTCAAGGGTTCTATTTGAGAAACGGAAATTTCTGATAACGGCGGTATCTGTATCGGATAACACATCAAGATAACAACTGTTGTCGACAAAGATAAACAAATGTAAAACTAGCGCGATATATCTGGTATCTTGCGGCAAAGTTAAGGATTGCCGCTAGGGTGATTTTCGTTAAATGTCCCATAAAGACACATGCAATAGTATGCTGCATGTCTTATCAACCAATAAGGTAGGTACAGCTGCTACTTGGACATGCAGTTATTTCCAACAATTCCTTAAACATCGGTTTGGTGGATGCATATTTACTACAACATAACATTATGGTGATTGTGGGGACATGCTAGGTAAACTTAAAAAGTGCACGGCTTGTTAATATTTTCGCAAAGCGTTGATCAGAAAATATTCGCACATAAATCAGGAAATGAAAAGTTACTCTATTACTGCAGTTACCTGCGGCAACGAAATACAGTTAGATGGACTTTCGATACACCTTCCTGCCTCAACCTGACAGTCTTTCGAAACTGTAAAATGCTGTCAGTTATTATTTTGTATGACTGACAGCATGACAGAGGTAAAGCATGCTGTGTTTTCTACAAAGACATAAAACCACTCTCAAGCAGTGGAACAATGCTACGCTTTGAGGTGAATTTTTCCTGTAATACCTCTTGCTGGATTCGAATAAGTTACTAAGGACTTATTGCATGAAATGGCATTATTTGAAATGGCTTGTAAATACGCAGATTGAGATTAATCTGCCATTATTGTATCAACATTTTGCAGCCTAAGTGAACATACACTGTTGTTATTTTAGCTGAAGATCGACTATGCCACCGCCTACACCTTGGGAAGATATAAAAATTGCCGTGAAACGGAAAAACCACGGCGAGAAAACAATTCTATTATTTATTCTGTTGTTATACAAAATGAGGTCAATCCAAACTCAAAAGGATGTTACCGTGCCTTGAGTGAAATTGAAATATCGTTACGCGTTGAAGCACAGTTTAATTCGAGAGTGGAAAACTGTATCATTTACAGGATGGATCCCTACCAGCTGATACATGACGGTATTTTCTACGAAAGATTAACGTATTTATGACTAACTGGTTTAATATTTTCATCTTCCGTTCGTAACATCAGTTAAACTAGGAGATTAGTAAGACTATTACATCTTAGTAAAGTGGTTGTACTAAGCAAAGTTGATAAAAAATAAATAATTTTATAATTTGGCACAGTACAGTATAACATATTGTAGAATGCGTCCGGTTGGCGGTTCCGGGGACTAACGTGTCTACTTTGTATCGGGGTCGTAATTGACCCAGGGGCTTATTTGCAAAGTGATGCTTAGTAGGCAGTTGCATAGTAGCAAAACATCTACTAGTAAAAGTCGGAGATGGATGGAGAATGTGCCTGCGTTTCACCTCTTGACGCACTGGTAGCCTTTATTCCAGTTGCCGACGCGAGGCCGGGCCTAATGTGTCCGGTGGATGGTGTGAAAACGAATGGGACATGGTTCCTTTGAGGCACATCGAAGACAAAATGGGAACGCAAAGGTAAGATAAGGTGATAATGACAGCTAGGATGTACTCGATGACCTCCCAAATGTGGTTTGCTTCAAAGACAATTTTTGACGGGTATAAAGAGATTAAAACACATTCCGTGAAAGATGTGTCATGCAATGGTTTTAGTAAGTGTATACCAAATGGAGTGTACCAGAAGTAAAAGAAATGTACTATTCTAATGGTTAGCAAATGACGAACAGCAATACCTAGAAGATCAGGATCAAAATCTGTGAGAATGAGAAGTACACGCCTTAACGTGAATCAGAGATCTTTAAAGTCAATCTTGGTGCGTCATATGTAGTAGGCGTCTGGTTGAAGGTTCCGATGGTTGTCGTGTCCCGGACTTGCTTGGGTCGTATTATACCGAGGGGTTGAAAATCTAAAGTGGTACTTCTTAGGCTGTTCGACAGTTTCGACTACTTAGTAAGAGTCGGAACTGGACGGTGTGTGTGCCTATCTTACACCTCGTGACGAGCTGGAAAACGTAGTCACGGATGCTAATGGAGAATCAGACGTGAAATGACTGGATGAATGGCGTGGAAAAATACACGGGTAACTGCTATCATAGCAACCTTCAAAACGAAGCGAGAAACTAAAGAAAAGAGATTACGAGCATCATCTAGGCCACACTTAAGAACTTCTTACTTGTTTACTTGCCACAGCGGCAATCTGATGCGCTACAACAAGTATTTAAACAAGAAAGCTGCGGCAACAAAAAATCTGGCCTAACATTTGGTCAAAACTGTTACCGGCGATGTTCTATGGAATGCGTTTTGTGTGGACCCAGTACGATTAGGGGCTTCTTTAAAGAATATGCTATGGTTACATACCAGTGTTTATAAAACGAACCAAATCATTATTAGGCACACTAGTGGACACTGTTTTAATCACGCAAAATTATTTTGCCCACATTGTTTGCATGCAACTAATACATACGCGACCTTGGTAGTAAACTTTGAAAATTCCAGAAGCAAGTGCTAACCTGCAGTTTACTGCAACTTTCTTTACTCACTTTTAGACAACTTCAGTGAGTATTCTTATTAGATTGCTTAATGTACCTTATGCAGTAGTTTGCCAGTTAGGTCTAGGTTTTGTTGCGTCATTTCAGTGATCAGACGAGCTAAAACAGTTTCGTGCAGTAGAATATGCTGACACGAATAAACTATTTCAATTACTGTGCAAGCGCTATATTTACGCGTTGTCTCACAGCGACATGTTGTTGTGTAGTTTGTTTCGTAGTCTATTGGTTAGTTTCATGGAAGTGTCCTCTAAATACTGAATCAACGCTACGTTGTCAAACCGTCATTGCGATGAAAAAGGTAGTTTTGTTTTAGGTATTGTGCGCCTATTTAACGGCCAATTAATGCATTATTGGTACTTCCCGTTCGTAAATTTTAAGCTTTTGCTACACACCGTTTGCATTAAATTGCAATAAATATTTATCGTTCTTCTTTTCAAGCTGCAAACTTATACGGCACCTTGAATGGTTCCCTCTGCGGTATGGTGAGTCACTGATAGTGAATTGTACTGTAACTGCAAAAGAATTGTTGCGGGCTGGTGGTACACCACCTAGTACGAAATATAGCAACTATAAATTCATGTGATTTCCGTAGCCATATAGTATATTTAGACGTTAATGAGAGGGATTTTAAGTAAATGTTTAATAGAGGTTAGGCTGACACACTTGCTTATCTTTAAACAAATCACATTGTTTGAGCCGAACTCAGGGTAAACGAACGTGTGTTACCGATAATTCGGTTTCCGTCTTATACATTACATGAATATCAGGAGGTGCAGTCAAACCTTACAAGTCGTTAGTGCAAGAGCGTTAATCGCGTGCTGACAATGCTGCCTGTTTAGTCGCAAAAACCGACGGCGCATTTCCTCGCGTGTCGGAGATCTCTGACCGTTTGGAACGGGATTGGTGCATCCCTTTAGCTAGCTTCTGCTGAACACCAAGCTTTAGTTCATAGAACCGGATCGCAATTGCCTAAGCAGGTTCTAGTAGTTGCTTGCGAACGTAGTTTGTTCAGTTCCTCTGAGCATGATATATAATTTTGTAGGAATCATCCGACTTTTAGCTTATCTTTTGTCGGATAGATGAGCGGCAATTGATGGGTTGACAGTTTTTCTGTTTCCTGTTCGAAGCCGGACATAGTGGTTTTCCCTTACTCTTTCAGATAGTCGTTTTGTCGTGTGACCAATGTATTCCGTTCCACAGCAGCATGAAACTTAGTAAATAGGTATTGAGTTCGGGTGGGCCGGCCACTAGTATTTTGATTACACTCATGCTATCTGAGTGCTGTTGAACTGGATTTGCATCTGTACTGCTGAGTAGGTGCGTTTTAGTACAACTTAAAGACGGCGCGATAGTATTTCCGTCGAAATCTCGCCCTTCTATGGTAACTAGGAAGATTGGTTTACGTATTACTGTCAAAACTACAGACAGCTTCTTCCTGTGTTCAAGGTTGACGATGATAAATTGCTCCGAATAGTCAATCCCCCTCAACACTAAATGAATACACTCAAATTCCTTTGAAATCATGTAATTTAAACGGACACGTTCAGCACAGCTCACTATGGTACTATCAAGTTTCATTAGTTTACTGCCCATTCCACGTAGCATTCCTACACACTCGACAGTGCATCGCACCTCCAGCAAGTCCTTTCATAGTGACATCGAAGAAATGAAGGCGACTGTATTCCTCAACTACGTAGGTGAATTTTATTACTGGATGGGTGTGTCTGAACGTGTTTTATAGCTCCTCGATACTTCGAGAAGATTAAAACAAAACAAAAGGTTGTCTACGTAACGGCGATATAAACTAAGACCTTCTATCGTTGAACTTAACTTTTCCTATTCCAGCAAATCCATGAAGATATCAGCAATGAACGGTCCCAGTGGGGGACCCATCGCGACCTCATGGCACGGCCAATATAATTCATCATTGAATAGAAAGTAAACATTGCAAGCACATCTGGCCCACGGCGGCCGGTGATCTCTGACCTGCGTCGCAACACACGGTCCGTTGTCGTGGACTACCAGACAACACTGTCAGCATGTAATTAACCAGATCAAGAAGTAAAGGGTTGTAATGTCTGTCCGCATAAATTTGATATGCACCGACAAGTAGAGGTCTGAAGATGAAGGAACAAAACATAATTTCGCTTAACCTGACTTCTGCCCATACAATGGATTAGATATTTTTTATAGATTTATACTATCCTGAGAAAAACGCGTGATGTTTTAGCTTGCATATTTCTCTATGAAAAACGTCGTCCAAATTGATTCCACGGGGCGAGGATAAGGATTTTGACTAGTACCCAGCGTTATTATAAAAAGTACTTATGTCAGTATTTTCGTTTACTTTTGTATCCTGAGCAAATTAAAGTGCATTAGGCTGAAGTCATTAACCCTGTGATGATCTTAAAAGAACATACTTGGTTAACAATTACTGACAAAAAGCTGGGCATGTGGAATGAGGTTTTAGAAAATGGGATCGATTGTGACAACCGGATGTGTGTATAAGTGTGTTTAATAATATAAACAGCTCACCTAACCTTTCGTACTTGTAACGCAGTAACCTAAAACATAGCAACTGGTAAAAGCTTGCATCACAAAGCTATTATGCTTAGTGCATTATCGGCTTTTTCTTAACTTAAATGACTACGAGATGCATAGAATAAATAGCAAACAAGTGACCCGTACCTTAACTAGAAAAATTGGCTAATAATCCTTATAAACTTTATAATAATCGGGGCCGGCCTTTGTTTCCTGCAGTGGTGGAAATCTACATGTCAATGAAGGGTAGGACTCGTTATATCCCAGTTAGCATGCAATTTCAGACGGTCTGTCTACGTTCCCATAGCTTAGTGGTAAATGCCATTTACTAGTTGCGAAGCTGCTAGCGGTCAGGTTTTCCATCCCCGGCAGGGGACGGAAAGTATGCGCACCACTGACGAGCACAAATAGGACGCAACGGCCGTAGGGTGCTGTTTCGGAGTGCGTTTAGACCAATCAGCTTGTGAGAGGCTGTGATAAAGTACTAAAAGAACATAATTTTATCGCTTTCTGTTTTGCGGGTTCCCTGTCGGTACGACTATCCGCTGAAAAATTGTTACACATCCTTTGGTCCTTTCACGGGCGCCTGTTTGGCGTCTTACCTTGGTCCCGACTAGACATTGTTCATAGGTAGGAAGTGCACTCATAAACTGGCAAGGAAAGGGAATTTGTGGTTCAGCAAAAATGAAACGCACTCAAGCAAATATATATTTCATGTTGCAAATATGCAAGTATTTAAAATGGCAGCTTCACCGTCTGAAGGAAACATAACGTTGCAAACCAGAAGTTAACTTACAATGAGTAATGCCGTTGAATTGATCACATACTTATCGACCGTTGTACATTTTTCGCAAGAACAGTAAATAGAAGGCTGTTTTGCCTATCGTGTATAACTGCGCGTCGGAGCATCCTCAAAGACCCAGGCAAGCTTGCATGGAATAAG